GTTGTTCCCTCCCTCTACTTGCATTAGTCTTGACACGATAAACTGTGAGCCCTCAGCTACGTCTGTGTGTACTTCCCTACCTCTCCTTGTGATCAGTATTATATTGTCTCTCCCATCTAAAGTCCCTGTGCTTCTTTGTAATCACTATTACATCTGATCAATGGCTCTATTATCTAATGTCCTTGTTTTTCTATGTAATCACTATTATATTTGATAGTTGTCTCTATTTTATAGATGTCTGCATGTATGCATGCATATATGTACCAATGGATGCTTGTTTGTATGTGAGTGTGAATATGTGTGTGTGTGATTGTGTGTATGTGTATGCATAAATGTATTTATGTATGTAGGCGGGTGATTATATATGTGTGTGTAGGTGAATGAGTTAGTGGGTGGGCGTGTGCATGTTGGGGGTAGGGGTGTATGCATGCATAATTCATTATCTTTGTCTATCTCTTCATCCTTCACTGTCTTTTGTACAGTGTAGCTTGTCTGGCTTGGTATGCCTCTCCCTCTCTTTTTCTCCATATGTCTGTCTGCCCCCGTCTGTCTGTCTCTAGTTGTCTGTCTACATCTATCTTTGTCTCTCTTTGGCCTTGTAGTTCCAGATCCATCTGTCTCTGACTTCCTAAAGGACACGTTTCCCCACGCCTTCAGGTGTATTTGTCATATATAGCTAAACCCATGTTTTATCAACCAACCATCACTTAGAGGTTGATGTGCTCAACATGACACCGGTCGCCTTTACTTCACAAGACCATACCTGACACCCACTCAAGGCTGGGATACAAGGTCATTTTTTATGAATCCAGCTCTTTCAGGATCCGAACCCACCACCTTCTGATCGGTAGGAGAACCGCTACACCACGGCCGCTCATTGTCTACTTGGTATTGCCTTGATACTGTCGTAAGTCGCTCTGTTTGTTTCCTTAAAGGCATCTCTCTTTTTCTTTCTTTCCCCCACAAACGCAATCTCTCACACACAAACACGTTCTCATAAATTCCCACCGCGTTCCGCGTTGTCCTTATACGACATATTCCAACCATATTGCTACCAATCTTCTACCTCGTTCCATGCTCCCCCTTAGACATAATACAACCATATTGTTACCAGTCACAGACTTTACTCTCGAATCAACTTCCCTTTCCATTCCCCATATTTAAAAAAAAACATTGTATACGGACTGCTGTTGTCGAAGTAATCATAAAAAGAAATCAATAAACGATAAGTAGTCAGTGAAAAAGAAAATGTCACACCGTAAAGAAAAGGTCCCTTACACTCCAGAGAACTGTCGGACCTATGATACTTGGCTTAGTTTGAACAACACACTACCTGACAGAACAATCAGCACTCGATGGCTGATGTGATCAACAACACACTACCTGACAGAACAATCAGCACTCGATGGCTGATGTGATCAACAACACACTACCTGACATAACAATCGGCACTCAATGGCTGATGTGATCAACAACACACTACCTGACAGAACAATCGGCACTCAATGGCTGATGTGATCAACAACACACTACCTGACAGAACAATCGGCACTCAATGGCTGATGTGATCAACAACACACTACCTGACAGAACAATCGGCACTCAATGGCTGATGTGATCAACAACACACTACCTGACAGAACAATCGGTACTCAATGGCTGATGTGATCAACAAAACACTACCTGACAGAACAATCGGTACTCAGTACTCAATCGGTACTGATGAGGTCAACAAGCGGACAGTGGCTTTCAAGTTAATTGCGAAAGAAGCCAAGACAGCGAAATGGAACGAATTCTGCAAGAGCGTTTGCTCCGAGGGATCTCTTGTGACATTCTGGCGCCTTCAACGGAGCATGCACGGCGCCGCACGACCAAGGGGTATCCCTGATTTTCAGGGTACAGACCTGATATGGCAGAGAACTGATGCTGATAAAGGAAAAACCCTCCTTGCGCGCTACTTGGAGCAAACTGACCAAAAAGACGAAGCTGCAAGAATAGGGGTTAAGATGAAACTGTCGATGCTGTGCGAGAACACTGAGCTAGGCACTGATTTCACAATCACTGCAGACACCTTAAGAACTTGCCTCAAGAAATCGCGCAGCACTGCTCCAGGTCCTGACGGCATCCGATACAATGACATGCTGATGATGTCGAATGCTGATTTGAAAAGCGTGGCAAAGGAATTCAATATCAGCATCCAGAGTGGCCAGATACAAGAGGAATGGCTCCATAGTTATTTGTTTCCACTACCAAAGCCTAATAAAGACCACTCAAAGATCTGCGGCTACAGAATCATCTCGATGCAGAATACTGTTGGCAAACTTTTGGAAAAAATTGTCGCACAAAGATTGACCACCTACTTGGAACTACATGATAAGTTCCCATCAACACTTGGAGGGTACAGATTGAAGAAAGAGACATGGTCCAATGCTGCTGTTTTCGCCTACGATGTGTACGAGGGATTTCAGATTAAAGAAGAGACATGTGCGGCAGTGTTGGACTTGGAAGATGCCTACAATAAAGTACCATATGATTATTTAATGCAATTACTGCTTAAACTAGAAGTCAATCCTATTCTGATCCGCTGGATTGCTGCGGTCCTGTTCCAGAGAAAGATTGTACTAAGATGTGGTAGCTGGTCCTCAGAACCGCAAACGATATGTCCAGGCTTGCCACAGGGATCACCGCTATCACCAGTCTTATTCAATGTTTATACGGTGATGATCACTGAGCAGCAGTTGAATGGAGAGGGAAGGACTTTGTCATTTGCTGATGACATTTTGATTTATCGACGAGGGCGTGATAGACAGGAGATCGCCAGCACAATGCACAAAGAACTCGATCGAATTGCCGCCTGGTGTGATGGTTCCAATGCCTATGTCAATCCCTCGAAGGCATCAGTGTCATGGTTCTCTTTGAACAATCACATTGTCAAGTCGGACTTACCAGAAGTGAAAATGCGTGATAATGTATTGATCAGAACCAACGTTATGACGTTTCTCGGGGTGAGGTTCGATCGCAGCTTGTCATTCAGGGAACACGTTGACCATGCGATAACAAAAGCACGCAAAGGTCTATCTGCAATGAGGATTATGGCTGCTTCCAATATCGAGCAAAGACTGCTGGTGCTTCTATTCTATGGTCTGGTCCTTTCCCCCATTGAATACGCTCTGGCCATCCTCACTGTCAGTGCTACCCAGATTGAACGACTCGAGAAGGTGCAAAATGAAGCCATGCGTATTATTTTGGGATGTACAAGAGACACATCCTGTGGAGCAATGAGGTATCTACTTGACTTTCCAACAATGAACCAAAGGATCAGGATGTGGAGGGCTCGGGCATACCTCAAAATATGTGCTGATAAGAAACACCCACTGCATCAAGCGCTTTTTAGTGAAAAGGGCGACAGACTGAAGAGGGGAAAATCGTGGCTAGGTCGGGCAGAAGATGTTATTAGGCAAATATGCAGCCTAACCGACATCATACCTGGTGCAGAATGGATACCTGTGCCTCAGGCGTTTATTTGTACATTTTCCTGTATTGTCACACTCAACAGGCGATGTAGAGAAGATAATCCTGTTGCTGTTAATGCAGAGGTCAACGCTCTCATCGGTGAAAATTCAGACGAAGCAGATGCACTAATCTATACAGACGGATCAGTTATACGCCAAAGAAGAAGCGCATGGGCATTTACAGCACGCTCAGCGGGCAGAACAGTCAAAGAAGCCAACGGCGCCTTCTCCATGACAACCAGCAGCATGACGATGGAGGTGATGGCAGTGACGCAAGCGTTTGCCTGGCTTGAAACACAAAAATACACCCGCATATGTATACTCAGTGATTCAATGAGTATGATCCGGAGGGTTCAGGCAGGTTCAGTGCGAAGACAATGGCTTGAATCAATTCAGAAGTCCACTGTGCGAGGAGTCACCTTTATTTTTGTTCCGGGACACGCAGGCGTCGATGGAAATGAAAGAGCTGACAGGTTGGCTGGATCCGCTATCACTACCGACGGTCGGCCTATGGATCATGCTGATATTATCAATGCCCTCAGAGAAATGGGAAGGATAGAGGACTTTGGTGGCAGTGAATCCACATCACTCGCCAGAATGGCAGACTTGGGAATTAAGATCGGCACAGCAAAAAACGAGACGCACACCGGACACGTCAGAAGACTTGTTAATCAACATAGAACTGGTACTATTAGCCATCGGACGTTGGGATTCATACTGAGGGGAGGATCTGAGCACCTATGGACATGTCCGGAGTGCAATGATGATAACCCAACTAACTAACTAACTAACTAACAATCGGTACTCAATGGCTGATGTCGTTAACATCCACACCAGGACTTTACCAGATAATCATGTTAAGCTGGGTTCAACTGCTAGCAACGGATCTGACTCGATGCAGATTTTACCAACGACCGTTAGACCCATCAGACAGTGTCTGATCGTTGGGTCACTTGTAGTCTATAACGCAAAAATATATTTATGTACTTCAATATCTACGCCAATCAAAGCTATAGAAATTCTAAAGACATGAAACGAAAGTTAAATGCATTCGGAATCAAAAACCTAAGGAAACTGGTTACATTAGGTAGGATAAATTCACGAAACATAAATATATAAACGTGTGTGTGTTTGTGTATGTGTGTGTGTGTGTGTGTGTGTGTGGTGTAAAGAGAAGTGTCAAGACACCTTTTGAAATAATATTTGTAAGACAACAAAGATGACACTTCATTGGGTATATCACGAGAACAAGAGATAAGTAAATTATATATATATATATAAAGAACAACAACAACCACAAGATAAACGTTGATGAGGAAGTGAAAGACATAAGAATAGATTCCACTTAGGATAACGAAAAGATTTTACAGGATAGAACAGAATGAATGAACAATTGCGAGCATGTGGCACATATAACTGCACAACAGAATGCAGATAACGACACCCATCTGCGTATTTACAATGACAAACTGACAATAATTTGCTCACCATAAGCTCTGAGTCCAGCAATGAAAGCCAGAAACACGGCAAGTCTGAGAGGCTGCATGTTGTCCAGTTTTCCCTAACAATGAGACAAACAGCCACCAGACAGGGGCAGATAAATAGACGGGACCAGCCAATCAGGGGAGATAACTTTGCATTCATAACTTCTGAATATCACAATGGTCGCTGAAATAACTTTATTGTATCGAAATTAATTCTTTGAAGATTAGTAATATATCACAAACATCACAAACAGCCTGGACAATAGCGTCATGCAGTCTATTAAAACGCCAACGGCCTATGAGTTATTACATGAAGTGTCTGTTCACTTGAAGTTGTCAGATTCCATCCTAGATATACTGCTAGTGATGATTAGTCAGTGTTGTTAATCTGCATTTGTTACGCAACATTGTTGTGTGTATCAGACATCAGCAGTGGGGATCACACGGGTGTATTATATGCCCAGGTGTCTGCTGGAGTATGAATGCTTCCTCATTACTGTGTATCTGATAAGACTATTTATAATGTAAAACTAGACAGATGCTACAGATGTGACATGTTACAGTATGTCTGCTGACTTCTTCTTCTTCTCTTCCACCTTGTAACTCATCGAAGTGTCGGGGGGGGGGGGGGGGGGGGAGAGATGTAATGTTCGTTGATGAGCTCTGTCAAGAGCACTATTAAGACTGATGTTCATTTCTGTAAGGCTGTTCTTAATGCCATCACTCCATATTTCCGAGGTCTTCCACTGGCTCTGTACCCGTTGTAACGTTTTAGTATGGCTCGCTGTGGCAGATAGTACCGGGACATTCTTGTTAGGTGTCCAAACCACTTCATTTGTTGCGCTGCGGGGAGTTACCAGGAGATCTTGCAGACGTTCAAAACTCAGGGAAAGGACGAGACGAATATACTGACAGTTACTGGTGCAATCGGAATTTAACTTTTCGCATGCTGCTGAGGATGGGAACGAAGTGCTTATGAGAGTGTCTTGAGTGCTGTGATGTCGATTGTTAATTCAAAATTTATCAGGATTGAAATTAACTCAAAAAAGGAAGTGATTTCCTATAACAAAAAGAGACAATCTACATTTTTGGTCATGTTTTGAGAATGGGAAAACTGTAGTACACCATGACAGCAGGGACGTTGTAAACCGAAAGCGAAGATGCTGGACAGTTTGACATCTTGTCATGGAAGATCATCTGCGGGATCGCTGATTGAAAGTACACCAGATGGTGGTAGAGAGACATAACTAACAACACCCTATGGTTCTGAATTTATTATTAGGAAGATAGTTGCTCTCACAAAGCCTGCTAAGACAGATGAGGACATGAATACTGACTTTAGATGAAGACATGTATGCTGCCTACAGAGTGGACAGTATCGCTTCAGATGAAGACATGAATGCTGCCACAAGAGCGGACAGTATCGCTTCAGATAAAGATATGAATACGACCCGCAGAGTGAACAGTATCGCTTCAGATAAAGACATGAGCGCTGACTGAAGAGTGGACAGCATCGCTTCAGATAAAGACATGAACGCTGACTGAAGAGTGAACAGTATCACTTCAGATGAAAACATGAACGCTGACTGAAGAGTGAACAGTATCACTTCAGATGAAAACATGAACGCTGACTGAAGAGTGAACAGTATCACTTCAGATGAAAACATGAACGCTGACTGAAGAGTGAACAGTATCACTTCAGATGAAAACATGAGCGCTGACTGAAGAGTGAACAGTATCACTTCAGATGAAAACATGAACGCTGACTGAAGAGTGAACAGTATCACTTCAGATGAAAACATGAGCGCTGACTGAAGAGTGGACAGCATCGCTTCAGATAAAGACATGAACGCTGCCTGAAGAGTGGACAGCATCGCTTCAGATAAAGACGTGAACGCTGCCTGCAGAGTGGACAGTAGCGCATCAGATGAAGACGTGAAAGCTGCCTGCAGAGTGGACAGTATTACTTCAGATGAAGACATGAATACTGCCTGCAGAGTGGACAGTATCGCTTTAAATGGAGACATGAATGCTGTATACAGATAGGACAGTATCGCTTCAGATGAACATGTGAATGCTGCCTACAGAGTTGACAGTATCGCTATAGATGTTTTGTGTAGTTAATTCTTTGGATATTGGATTTTACAAATATATCAGGTTGCTGTTCATTTGTTATAGTTTGTTAATAAAGGTCGGCTACTCCCACACGAACAGCCGTCTCGATCGAAAATACGCCGCCCGATTATCGATAGTCTCAGCTTGCCATTGAGTTGAGATTTATCAGGAAACTAGTGAGAGTTCGTTGCCTCGCTAAACCATTAGCGTTTACTTTTCGGCTTGATCTGTCAGAATCGGGACGCTAAAGTCAGGACATTGATCTCTACATCACTATACGGCCTGATCTGTCAGAATCGGTACGCTAAAGTCAGGACATTGATCACTATGTCCCTATACAGTTTAATCTGTCAGAATCGGTACGCTAAAGTCAAGAAATTGATCGCTATGTCCCTATACAGCTTGATGTGTCATAATCGGTACGCTAAAGTCAGGACATTGATCTCTACATCACTATACGGCTTGATCTGTCAGAATCGGTACGCTAAAGTCAAGACATTGATCGCTATGTCCCTATACAGCTTGATCTGTCATAATCGGTACGCTAAAGTCAGGCCATTGATCGCTACGTCCCTATACGGCTTGATCTGTCAGAATCGGTACGCTAAAGTCAGGCCATTGATCGCTACGTCCCTACACGGCTTGATCTGTGCGGCTGGCTACCCGAGGAAATGCATCGATCGCTTAGAACTATTCGGTGCCGGGCCGGGCTTGGTTGACTGCCAGCAACACGATCTACACTTTTGACCAGTGTTATATTTCCAAGGACGTCACAGAAGCCTCGGTTTACCGAGCCAAGTTTCACCAGAGGAAGGAACAAGGCCCTAGGTAATTATAATCTACCTTGGTTACACTTTAAACCGTGACTTAGGGCGTGCGTTTAACCTCTAAAACTATCGTGAACTTTACCATTTCTAAAGGAAACGGAAAATACGCTTAGAACGACGGCCAGTTCAACAACCGACATACCAGGATCACCAGCACAGAGGGCCTCTACCCAAGGGGACGCCCTTTTAGGGGCGCCTGAAGCCGCCTCAGTAGGGGCGCAAGGACCCTCCTGCCTACACAAGTAGCAGCAGCCTGGGATCAACACCCCAGACATCATACAGTGCTCACGCTGCAATAGAGCGTGGCATACAGCCTCGACCTGCCGCAAGAACCTATCGTGCAGATACTGTTCTGGGGCCCACGATTTCAAGGTGCCCGCTAGCTAAAATTGACACTAATTTCAAAAAGCCAAACAGCAACCGCAAGTGCTCCAACTGTTCCAGTACACACGGCGCGAGGACTCAATTGCTAAACCTGATATTACAGATGCGTGACGAAATCAAAGCCTTGAAAGAAGACAAGTCTCCCAGCAAGCAAAGTGGCCAGCAGAAGCTGAACAAACACAGAAAAACCTGCTAGTAATGTCAGTGAATCTCCAAGCAGAAAAAGCAGCAGAAGAGACACGCGGACAAGAAGAAAGGGAGGAGAGAAGAAAGGAAACTGCAGCAGTCAAGGAAGCCCGAGAATGCGCTTATAAAGAAGTCACCCTTATGATCCAGGCAAAAGCAGAAGCCGAAGCTGCAAAGCTAGCGGCAAGAACGGAGCGTGTCCTACTAGAGAAGGAAAGAGAGGTCTCCAGCAAAGCTGTAAAGAAACCAAGTATCAGCAGGCCGACAAATTTACAGCCACAGACAATATAACGCAGAAGGTCGACAGTAGCACAGCCCCCGAAACCGAAATCACAGCCTTAGAAGCAGGAACAATAACTGATGATGAAAGCCTTGAGAGCATGAAGGCGAAATTTCAAGAAATGCTCAGAATCACGAACGAAAAGATATTCCCACACAGACTGGATGCGTCATCACTCTCAGTGCACCTTCACAACGACCATGACAAGGTGGTGAAAGAGTGTCAACTACCAAGAGCTGAACACCAAAGACTACGTGTTATGAAATACCAACTATTCTACTATATTAAAAGAAGCCATAACCAAACTAGTAAAAAAGAGAGAAGAGGTACTGAGACTAGCAACAACAACTGATGATGAAGCAGAGAAGAAAGAGGAGATTACCACACCACCAAGGCACAAGCAGTACAAGCGAGGCAAACGGGGACGCCTCCAGTGCAAGAAGCCACACTGTTCCTCCTCTGGATAGCCAGCAACACCACACGTGAACCCCACCCACCTGCTCCAGTCCTATAGGCGATCAACTACGCAAATGCCATAGAGCTAACAAAAAATCTTAAATTAGTATATTTTCAGGAATAAGAGGACAACGGAAACTACCACAGGCCACTCGACGTTCTGAAGCAGATAGCCGAGGGTTTTGCTCATTAAAGGGACCATCACTTGAGAGTTTCCAGTCTCTCTCATGCTGCCCCACCCACCCACATGTATTTTAACAAATGCCTTTCACTTATGTTTCAGACCAAGAGACCTCTACCCATCAGAAGTGGAAGCTTTCTCTCTCAATCTATCTGTCGCTCTCATTCTTCTGACCTAACTCACATCGCCTGGCAAATTCGAGCAAATTATTTATCATTTTTGAAGCCTATCTTACCTCCACTACTTCTCCACACTCCGTAGGGAAAAAAACGGACTGATCACAATAACAGATTGTGACGACCGTGGTTGTCCTGAAAGGGAGCATTGTTTGAGACACTGTAACCTGGTGTTTGTTTGGCTTTTCCCGGTGGCTTTACAGAACGGCAACCAAGCAGCAACAGGGCACCAGCACAGCGACCAGCACGAGGCAAGCCAAGCACCAGCAACAATCAGCTGAAACCCACAGATATCATCACTAGGAGAACTGAACCACACCAGACCCATAAACCACAAGCACCACCCCACAGCAAGAAAGCCAAGAACCGGAATATATGGTGTGACTACACACCACAAATAAAAAGAAACCAAATAAGACAGCCAAGGAACCTTCCTTCATATAGCAGGCCTCCGGGCAGCTGAAAAAGGATCAAGTTTGGAATTTTTGTTGGACAAATTGCAATTGGAACTGGAAGGTCGGCTATCCTCAAAATAGCTGCGATGACTTTCTATTGTTTTCTTCTGGCTCTAGTCATTGCACGCTTCCATTCACTGACTGACAACACACGAGAAAACATGGACGCTGGCGACCGATCCAAATTACACTTACACAGTTTATTTGTTCACTCGCTGGTAATGCAGCCAGTAAATGTTAATGGACAACATAGTCACTCATATCTATCCTCACTTATCTAACATGTCAACTTTACCTTATAATATCTTCCATCCAACAACTGAATGAACAACAACTATTCCATCCGATCAAAACACAAACATTCTCAGCTGGCTACGACTTTCGTTCGCCGCTACTGATTGGCCAGGTTGGCGTTGGGAAAATACTGTGCAGACACACCGGACTCAAACACTCTTTCTGGATTCCGCAGACACTCCATCAGTCTTCATGTATTCATTTCCTAGGCCTAAACGAGACTGACTCCCAGCTCTTTCTCAGGCATTATATATCTTCTAATGCCCTCCTCGTGCTTTTGAATTCGTGTTCTCCGTTTTACACGAATTACATTTGGCCAGCAGTTTTTGTGTGACTCCCGTGAATAACTTTACTTCACATGAAGTTAGACTATCAGCATTTCTCTACAATTCACAAGAAGTTAGACTTATCAGCAATTCACGTGTTGTCCCAGTTAGACTCAAACTATTCCACTTACATTTATTACTGATGTCATTCTGTCTAGGCATAATTTATCTAGGAGAAAATGAGGCTCACTACAAAAGCGGTCCCAAATTATGGAGTTTATAGATAAAAGTACGATTGGAAATATTGTAATGTGAATTCCCGGGGAAATCCCAGAGAGTTCCCGATGGGGAGGACAAGGTCGGAGGACCAGTGATACAAGAGAAAAACGAGATAAGTGGGTCTCGTGTATCTCATGGTGAGCGAAGTGAGGGATACAAGAAAAGCATGAGATGTGAACGGAAGACGTGAACCGGGAGACAGGAGTAAGACAGTTGAAGTTCGGCCCTGACTGAGAAAGGTCGCATCAGTGGACGCCTGAGAAGATTGACGGAATGGTGAACAAATGGTATATTTCGAGAGGAGGAATGAATGTTTTCCACATGTCTTAATACCGAGTACAAGGGTTCGTAAAGGACGGATGGATGATTCGAAAGACGCTGATGGATTCAGGTAGTGTGTGAGAAGTTGACCTGATCGCCAGAATCAGCCGTGCAGGAAGAACACGAGGACGCCAGAATGTGTGCATACGCTATTTTGTGATTCACCGAATAAAAGCACTCAACCCATACACTCACAGACTGTAATTTGTTGGTGGTAGGGATTTAAAACCATGAGCCAAGAACTAAGATATTATACAATTACTGACTGTCATTTGTTTGTGGTAGGGATTTAAAACCATGAGCCAAGAACTTAGATATTATACACCCACTGACTGTCATTTGTTGGTGGTAGGGATTTAAAACCATGAGCCAAGAACTAAGATATTATACACTCACAGACTGTCATTTGTTGGTCGTAGGGCTTTAAAACCATGAGCCAAGAACTAAGATATGATACAGTCACTGACTGTCATTTGTTGGTGGTAAAGATTTAAAACCATGAGCCAAGAACTAAGATATCATGCACTCACAGACTGTCATTAGTTGATCGTTGGGATTTAAAACTATGAGCCAAGAACTTAGATAGTATACACTCACAGACTGTCATTTGTTGGTCGTGGGGATTTAAAACTCTTAAAAACCTGAGAACAATATAACAAGAATGTCTCTGCAGTGAAAGCCACAGGGGCCTTGAAACAAAGGTAGGCAAAACACACATGGGAAAGTGAAGATAGAATGATTGGGAAGACACAGTTTAGGCTGCATGCGATAGAAAAGGATGGAATGATTTGACGTGAGTCGGTTGAGGGCTAATGTTTCATTGGGGTATAGACGGTAGAAAAAGAAATATAACTGGCACTACAATAAATGATAACATATGCAAGTGAATAGCAATTTTCAATCTGCATATTTGAATTTAGGCATGCTATATATTCACGCCATCTGCCGCTCTTGTGTTTGCTTATAGTACATACAGGCAGGACAAAGGTTATTGCCTATAGTACATACAGGCAGGACAAAGGTTATTGCCTCTAGTACATACAGGCAGGACAAAGGGTTTATGATTATAATCTGCAGGATATCATAAATTGTTTTGTTTCCGTTGGCCAGATACGATCAGTAGCTTGTGGCTAACACATGAGACAGGAATATCCTACATGAAACAGCAGAGCAAATTATAACCACTGGGACATAGCTGATTGCATGCCATTATGTTCAAAGAGACGGGATCTTTGCACGTCTGGGTCGCCGGCATCTAACAGCCATTACAACAAAAGATAAATTAGTTAATGACACACTGGAAATGACTAGTTTGCCAGATATTGGCTGGCTCCTGTAGATAACACTGGTATCTGCACTGTTCATTGTTTTATTAGTAGTTACAACTGGACAGAATGCACTCACTCAGACTTTGTGTGTTTCTGGCTTTTGTTGCTGGACTCGGAGCTTATGGTGAGTGGACTAGCTTAAATCCATATAGTGTGCCTTACCAAGAGAGAACCTACACAGTGTTTATATCTTCCTTATATCCTCCTTTACCGCTTCGTGTGATAACGGAGAAATAAGGTCCTGCTTCGTGCTCTTCTGACTGCTTAGGCCTTAGATACCTCGTGGTGCTGTAGAGTTTTTCTGATTTTATCTTCACATCTTGTTCTTGGTCTACCTCTTACTCTACCTCCCTCTTCTCTTTTGGTATATGCCTTGTATGGTATAGCATCAAAAGGCATTCTCTCTATATGGTAGGCTGCCTTTGTATGCAATTAAGAATTGGTTCTGTGCCCACTTTTTTCTCGTATTATCTCATTCCTGATTTTATCTCTTCTGGTTACTGATAGTCTTTCTCAGACTTTTCTCCATCTTTATCATTTATACGAGCGCGCGCGCGCGCGCGCGCGCGTGTGTGTGTGTGTGTGTGTGTGTGAAATGCAAAAATAAGAATAGCGTTCCCATCACGATTTCTACTGTGCACTTTACTATGTGGGAGGCTGAGAGGGAGTACCAACGACACATGTTATAATTTAAATACACTTTGAGACGGGCCGGTGACAAGTGCCATGCTAAAGCAGGTGGACTTTGCTATGGAGGAGGCTGAGAGGGAGTACCAACGACACCTGTTACAATTTAAATACACTTTGAGACGGGCCGGTGACAAGTGCCATGTTAAAGCAGGTGGACTTTGCTATGGAGGAGGCTGAGAGGGAGTACCAACGACACCTGTTACAATTTAAATACACTTTGAGACGGGCCGGTGACAAGTGCCATGCTAAAGCAGGTGGACTTTGCTATGGAGGAGGCTGAGAGGGAGTACCAACGACACCTGTTACAATTTAAATACACTTTGAGACGGGCCGGTGACAAGTGCCATGTTAAAGCAGGTGGACTTTGCTATGGAGGAGGCTGAGAGGGAGTACCAACGACACCTGTTACAATTTAAATACACTTTGAGACGGGCCGGTGACAAGTGCCATGTTAAAGCAGGTGGACTTTGCTATGGAGGAGGCTGAGAGGGAGAACCAACGACACCTGTTATAATTTAAATACACTTTGAGACGGGCCGGTGACAAGTGCCATGTTAAAGCAGGTGGACTTTGCTATGGAGGAGGCTGAGAGGGAGAACCAACGACACCTGTTATAATTTAAATACACTTTGAGACGGGCCGGTGACAAGTGCCATGTTAAAGCAGGTGGACAATGATAAACACGAGTTTGTCCTCGGATCAAGTAGAACATATGCAAGGGGAAAAGTGAAAGCAACTCTGATGGATTGTATGTAATAAACAAACAGATAATCTATTCATGGACACAAAAACAAACTAGTAGAAAGACACAATAGACAACATAAAAGTCGAAAGCCTTAGTTCCCGAGCCTAGAATCGGATCCGGCTCGGTAATTATAGATATTGAATTTTATGTTGTCTATTGTGTCCATCTCTCTCAATTTCTGTGGAAGTATATCTCCGTGATCAAGCTACAGCACATCCCAACATCATCTCTTTCATAAATCATTTCATCTTTCACCCCCAACAGATTTCTTCTTCTTTCTTTTTTTTCGTCTCACCAGTTTACAGTCGACATAAAAGTTTGGTTGATCGTGCATTTCTGGTCTATGCCGTTTTTGAAAAGCCCTGACACCAGTGAATTTGCTTGCACGGCGATTTAGCCAGAGAAAGACCATCTGTGTCTAAGAAGGAACTGGGGGGTGAAAAGTCCCAGCCCCTCGCCCCAAATCCCAACAAAATAACGCTACACAGCAAGGACGGCTGCGTTCCCATGTTTTTGTTGAAGGAAAGAGAACCCGCTGCATTGCTGTTTCAAAATTGTACTGTCTCACTGGCTGCTCTTCCAGACTGACTTAACTGACGCTCTCCACCTGCAGATCTGTCGCCGGTCCTGTCTGAGTTCTACTGCATGTACAGTGGGGAGTACAGCAACATACAGCAGTGGCAGACCCACGATGAGATTCGCTCCCTTCTTTATCTGAAGGTGGTACCCATAGAGATCCCTGGCCTGTCAAAGGTACGTTGATTGATTTGTAATCCCACATCAGATACACACATATCATCATTGTATCACTAGATAGAAGCTGCTCTGGCCAGCCAAGACACTGGTTCAGTGATGTCTCCACAGACTGCGACACGTGTGAGTTTCAATAGTTATGTCTCCCCGTGTGGGTTCCGGGATCCCATCGTGGGGGAAAACAAGAATAGACCCTCTGCTTACCCAAAAGCATGTCGTAAGAGTCGTACTAATTAGGGAGCTCTCTTTGAAGTCGGAGTGCATCTGCCTGAGAGGCAAGGAACCAACAGTCTGCATTCAAATTAATCAGATCTGTAAAACCGATGCACACACAACACTCAGGTTCTGGAGCAGGACAGCAGTTCAGAAGTGGACGAACAACCAGAACTTTCCACAAGAGTGTAAAGCTGGTGAACGCAAAAAAGAAAGAAGAAGAAGAATAGTTATGTCATTATAGTCCTCCAGGTCTAAAAAGATTGCACAGAAAATCTGTTTGGGGTTGGTCTAGGAGTTAATGGTGGATACAAACAGGACACGTCAGCTCCGTGTGTTCACATTTTCAATGTCTGACGATCTACCATATCCAGCTTCAACTACAGTAACTCAAGTGAGTTTATCCACGGTTATGAAGAATTACTGTCGATATTTGTAACTTTTAGCAGCTGAAAACTGCGGCAAAAATTTCTCGATGGCCGTGTACTTTAGAACAATGCAAACTAAACAACAACACGTCAAAGCTTTCAAACCACGTATTGTTATATCTATAACGTAACAAACTCACACAAACAAGTTCCTATTAACCAACATAGGACATATTTAACCGACCCTTTCATGACTCCTTCTACCTCCTACCAACGTAGCAAACAACTACCGACCTACACACAACATTACCGACCCCCAACCAACACTACCAAACCACTAACAACACTACCGACCCACCAACAACACTACCCACCACCAACAACACTACCAAACCACTAACAACACTACCGACCCACCAACAACACTACCGACCCACCAACAACACTACCCACCACCAACAACACTACCAAACCACTAACAACACTACCGACCCACCAACAACACTACCAAACCACTAACAACACTATTCACACAGCAACCACATTGTCTAGCAGACAGCATGGCTACCACTTTTCAGCCTGTATTGTTCAGTATCCCATGTTATAGCGGGAAAAGCGCCACAATGACAACATTTGGATTTAAGGGGGGGGGGGGGGGGGGTGTTCAGCCCACCCTTGTTACGGAGTTAGGGGAGCACGTGCACAATTCGGAGGAGCAAATTGATGATCTAGTTTTATGTGAGTGATGCAGAGAGAAGTGACGAGGGGATCTGATGTGAGTGATGCAGCGAGAAGTGACGAGGGCATCTGATATGAGTGATGCAGCGAGAAGTGACGAGGGGATCTGATGTGAGTGATGCAGCGAGAAGTGACGAGGGCATCTGATGTGAGTGATGCAGCGAGAAGTGACGAAGGGGATCTGATGTGAGTGATGCAGCCAGGAGTGACGAGGGGATCTGATGTCAGTGAAGCAGCGAGAAGTGACGAGGGCATCTGATGTGAGTGATGCAGCCAGGAGTGACGAGGGGATCTGGTGTGAGTGATGCAGCCAGGAGTGACGAGGGGATCTGATGTGAGTGATGCAGCCAGGAGTGACGAGGGGATCTGATGTCAGTGATGCAGCGAGAAGTGACGAGGGGATCTGGTGTGAGTGATGCAGCGAGAAGTGACGAGGGGATCTGGTGTGAGTGATGCAGCGAGAAGTGACGAGGGGATCTGGTGTGAGTGATGCAGCGAGAAGTGACGAGGGGATCTGGTGTGAGTGATGCAGCGAGAAGTGACGATGGTATCTGGTGTGAGTGATGCAGCCAGGAGTGACGAGGGGATCTGGTGTGAGTGATGCAGCCAGGAGTGGCGCGGGGATCTGGTGTGAGTGATGCAGCGAGAAGTGACGAGGGGATCTGGTGTGAGTGATGCAGCCAGGAGTGACGATGGGATCTGGTGAGAGTGATGCAGCGGGGAGTGACGATGGGATCTGGTGTGAGTGATGCAGCCAGGAGTGACGAGGGGATCTGGTGTGAGTGATGCAGCCAGGAGTGACGAGGGGATCTGGTGTGAGTGATGCAGCGAGAAGTGACGAGGGGATCTGGTGTGAGTGATGCAGCGAGAAGTGACGAGGGGATCTGGTGTGAGTGATGCAGCGAGAAGTGACGATGGGATCTGGTGTGAGTGATGCAGCGGGGAGTGACGCGGGGATCTGGTGTGAGTGATGCAGCGAGAAGTGACGAGGGGATCTGGTGTGAGTGATGCAGCGGGGAGTTACGATGGGATCTGGTGTGAGTGATGCAGCCAGGAGTGACGATGGGATCTGGTGTGAGTGATGCAGCCAGGAGTGACGCGGGGATCTGGTGTGAGTGATGCAGCCAGGAGTGACGATGGGATCTGGTGTGAGTGATGCAGCCAGGAGTGACGATGGGATCTGGTATGAGTGATGCAGCCAGGAGTGACGATGGGATCTGGTGTGAGTGATGCAGCCAGGAGTGACGATGGGATCTGGTGTGAGTGATGCAGCGGGGAGTGACGATGAGATCTGGTGTGAGTGATGCAGCCAGGAGTGACGATGGGATCTGGTGTGAGTGATGCAGCGGGGAGTGACGATGGGATCTGGTGTGAGTGATGCAGCCTGGAGTGACGATGGGATCTGGTGTGAGTGATGCAGCCAGGAGTGACGATGGGATCTGGTGTGAGTGATGCAGCCAGGAGTGGCGCGGGGATCTGATGTGAGTGATGCAGCCAGGAGTGGCGCGGGGATCTGGTGTGAGTGATGCAGCCAGGAGTGACGAGGGGATCTGGTGTGAGTGATGCAGCCAGGAGTGACGATGGGATCTGGTGTGAGTGATGCAGCCAGGAGTGACGATGGGATCTGGTGTGAGTGATGCAGCCAGGAGTGGCGCGGGGATCTGGTGTGAGTGATGCAGCCAGGAGTGACGATGGGATCTGGTGTGAGTGATGCAGCCAGGAGTGACGATGGGATCTGGTGTGAGTGATGCAGCCAGGAGTGGCGCGGGGATCTGGTGTGAGTGATGCAGCCAGGAGTGACGATGGGATCTGGTGTGAGTGATGCATCCAGGAGTGACGATGGGATCTGGTGTGAGTGATGCAGCCAGGAGTGGCGCGGGGATCTGATGTGAGTGATGCAGCTAGGAGTGGCGCGGGGATCTTGTGTGAGTGATGCAGCCAGGAGTGACGAGGGGATCTGGTGTGAGTGATGCAGCCAGGAGTGACGATGGGATCTGGTGTGAGTGATGCAGCCAGGAGTGACGATGGGATCTGGTGTGAGTGATGCAGCCAGGAGTGACGATGGGATCTGGTGTGAGTGATGCAGCCAGGAGTGACGATGGGATCTGGTGTGAGTGATGCAGCCAGGAGTGGCGCGGGGATCTGGTGTGAGTGATGCAGCCAGGAGTGACGATGGGATCTGGTGTGAGTGATGCAGCCAGGAGTGGCGAGATGATCTGGTGAGAGTGATGCAGCCAGGAGTGACGATGGGATCTGGTGTGAGTGATGCAGCTAGGAGTGGCGAGATGATCTGGTGAGAGTGATGCAGCCAGGAGTGACGAGGGGATCTGGCCCATACTCGAGGAAAACAAGACAGATATTTAACCAGATTAGCACTGGCACCATTGGTATTGGAACTCTGCGTTGGCTGCTAAAGATAGGAAAGTCCCGAATGTCATGATGTCGATTCTTAAATCATCTCAACTGTGCTCAACCCAACCTTAAAAATGATGGACGGTTAGTGAGCTCATGGTGCATGAGTGGCCCAAGTTCTGATGTTCCCTGAAAGACAGTCATTGTTAGCATAGAACAAACAGGCAGACGTTTGTAGATGCTGACACAACTATCCGACCTGCTCCAGAGAGCACTTAATAGTATACACTTTGCAGCTTATCACTTTGTCTCCCACATTAGGATTTGCAACAGAGATAAACTGTGTTATCTGTGGATTTGACTGCAAGTTTGCATGTCTTTTTGATAAATATATGGATAAACCAACTTCTTTTCTCTCACTGTGACAACGAAAGAAAAAACCACTGGATATGAAAGCGATTTGACATGTGCTGTTATTTCAGTTGCCAGTTCTGTATGTGGAGCAGGCGGCGGATGGTGAGATAGCACTGATGGAACTCGGCATTATCACGGAGATAGACGGCGCCACTGTCGCTCTCGATCCTTTCAACTATACTGGCAACAGCGGATACAAGTTAGTAGTTTTGACGTTACTTTCTGTTTTCTGTTAGGACATGCTTAGTGGCAGAGATCATTGGTTACTTCCTATATGTTTGTAGCAAGTGTATTGTTAGTTTTATGAGCCAGGAAAAGATCCCTGGTCAACTGCAGCTACTTTTGCCTTTTACGTCAGTAAAGGGCTCCATAACAGAAAGGGAACCGTTGGTGGCAGCACTGGATCTCTAGGATGCTTCAAATAGAGTTAGACATACGATTGTGATGTCCGCACTGAGGGAGAGGGAGGTCAATCCATGGTTGAAGAATTGGGTTGAAGCTGTCCTGTATTCTCGTCGGGTGGCCACACTGATGAAGAGGAAGGTCAGTCACTGGTCAATGAATTGCGTTAAAGCTGTTCAGTACTCTAATCAAGTGGCGGCACTGATAAAGAGGAAGGTCAGTTCCTGGTTGGTGAATTGGGCGGCAGCTTTCCTGTATTCTCTCCGTCTGGTTTTGTGGACCATAGAGCTCAGCCTCGGGACTGCACCAGGGATCTGCCATATTGCCTGCCTCTTGACGTGTATACAAGCAGGATTGCAAGGAGCCCTACAGCTCGGAAGAATACTGATATTTGCAGATGCGCTTCGTGCTTATTGCCGGGGAAGAGATAAGGAACAAACAGCTGGGGAATTACAGGCAAGAACGGACAAACTGATTGACTTACTGAAATGAGTGGCTGTCTGCCATCCAGAAAAGGCGTCTGTTGTATGGTGTTCTCTAGACAAAAGCACTGTTACAGCTGATGTCCCAAGTCTCACGACAGATTCTAGAAACATCAACAAATAGAACAAACTGAAGTACATGAAAAGCACATTTGACCAGAGCCTGTCCTTCAAGGACCACGTGGAGACGGTTGTGACAAGATGCCGAGAAGGACTCGATGAACTTGAGACTACAATTCGTGGCATTCACACATGCACTTCGTCAACTTCTTTAGCAGCCAACGAAAAGTCGACATGCTACATTGAGATCCAAAAGTTTTGCAAATATAACAATTTAACAAATAACTCAAAAATGCATGTACGGATTAACACACATTTTGTGCATATGGTCTTATATGCCCAATGTTTTGCGTGTAATCTATTCTACGAATGCCGAACTTTACAAAAAAAAAACACACACACACACACACACACACACACACACACACACTGAAAAAGTGATATTTTTGTCATAATTTGGAAAAAATGCCGTGTAGTGACCTTTTAAGATTGTATAATGTACAACTGCGCAAAAGCTGCTGTTTTCTTAAAGCGGCGAGTTTATTTTTGTTGTTGTTGTTGCGGAGTCTTACTTCTTGTACCTGTATAATAATATCATAGCGTAAAGAGGACAGTGTGACAAAAATGCGTACTATCACTTGATCTTTTCATTTTTTCATCTTCATTCAGACGAAGCAGATGCAATAATCTATACAGACGGATCCGTTATACGCCAAAGAAGAAGCGCATGGGCATTTACAGCACGCTCAGCGGGCAGAACAGTCAAAGAAGCCAACGGCGCCTTCTCCATGACAACCAGCAGCATGACGATGGAGGTGATGGCAGTGACTCAAGCGTTTGCCTGGCTTGAAACACAAAAATACACCCCCATATGTATACTCAGTGATTTAATGAGTATGATCCGGAGGGTTCAGGCAGGTTCAGTGCGAAGACAGTGGCTTGAATCAATTCAGAAGTCCACTGTGCGAGGAGTCACCTTTATTTTTGTTCCGGGATACGCAGGCGTCGATGGAAATGAAAGAGCTGACAGTTTGGCTGGATCCGCTATCACTACCGACAGTCGGCCTATGGATCATGCTGATATTATCAATGCCCTCAGAGAAATGGGAAGGATAAAGGACTTTGGTGGCAGTGAAAAAAACGAGACGCACACCGGACACGTCAGAAGACTTGATAATCAACATAGAACTGGTACTATTAGCCATCGGACGTTGGGATTCATACTGAGGGGAGGATCTGAGCACCTATGGACATATCCGGAGTGCAATGATGATAACCCAACTAACTAACTAACTAACTAACTAACTAACTAACTAACTAACTAACTAACTAACTAACTAACTAACTAACTAACTAACTAACTAACTAACTAACTAACTAACTATCACTTGATCTGTTTGCCTTATACAGTGAATATATAATAAGACCTATCATGGATATGGCAGTAATTGTGGTTGGTGGGACTTTCAAAAACAACCTGTCATAACCCGATGACACCGTCTTGATAGCGACATGTCAGAAAGAGCTACAGGATTGGTCGATGCTGTGGTCAAAGAAAGTGATGAAATGGGCCTCAGTGTGAATAATGGAAAAATGGAAAGACAGAAGTAATAATGATCTCCAAGAAAACAATAGTGCCTAAATGTATATTAAAAGTCGAATGGGTTATTTTAAGACAAGTACGGAAATTTAAATGTGTAGACGCATGGACAAAATCCAATGGAAGATGTGAAACAGAGATAAAGAATAGAATAGGACAGGCTAAATATGCTTGGGTCAAAATGAAGAACATTTTATGCAATAAATCCATGTCATTGGAGATTAGGAAGATAATTCTCGCATGCTATATAGAGCCAGTTTTAACACACGACTGTGCAGCCTGGACAATAGAGCCAGTTTTAACACACGGCTGTGCAGCCTGGACAATAGAGCAGGTTTTAAGACACGGCTGTGCAGCCTGGACAATAGAGCCAGTTTTAACACACGACTGTGCAGCCTGGACAATAGAGCCAGTTTTAACACACGGCTGTGCAGCCTGGACAAAAGAGCCAGTTTTAACACACGGCTGTGCAGCCTAGACAATAGAGCCAGTTTTAACACACGGCTGTGCAGCCTGGACAATAGAGCCTGTTTTAACACACGACTGTGCAGCCTGGACAATAGAGCCAGTTTTAACACACGACTGTGCAGCCTGGACAATAGAGCCTGTTTTAACACACGACTGTGCAGCCTGGACAATAGAGCCTGTTTTAACACACGGCTGTGCAGCCTGGACAATAGAGCCTGTTTTAACACACGGCTGTGCAGCCTGGACAACTAATCAACAATCGAAACAATATCTTGAGACCTCGGAAATGTGGTTTTTACAGAAGAATTCTTACATCTCCATGGACAGATAACAAGAGAGATTCAGATGTTTTGAAAAAAGCGAATGTTTCATGACAACTTATCACAAACATCAGAAAAAGACAGTCATCATGGTTTGGACATGCTATGAGACGAGGGAAAGATCTGTGGAAGGAGAGTCAGAGGAAGACAGCGTATACATCTTCCAGTTTAGGGTATCATATGTTTACGTACTGGTGGCTGAAATTAAAGCCTCATCCATTATATTTTGTGATGAAAGGATTCACCTGATTTAGTACTGATCTCTCTACCTCTAACGCAGACCAGGAACCTTTGACCCCCGGGTGTTAAAGACAATGTCTTGGGATCAAGTTCAAGGCCAACCAATCTGCAGGGATGTTTATACTCGTACCAAACAGTTGACCTTTGACTTGAGATGGACAGACTGCAGGCACGCAGATATCACTGGGGTATTACATGTTGTCTACAGTTTCTGCATTGTCTGTGTGTGTCTGTGTGTTTGTATGTGTGTGTGTTTGTATGTGTGTGTGTGTGTGTGTGTGTGTGTGTGCGTGCGTGCTAGAGACAGTAAGTTATGTCAACGTCCCAATAGTACTTTGCCCAGACAATGTCGGTGTTCTTTATGAAAACGTGTCGTGACAGCACGAGCGTGACGTGACACATGGAGCATGTCGTCACAAGTGGATCGTGTCGTGACAACTAGAACGTATCGTGACACCTGGAGCGTGTCGTGACAGCGGAAGCGTGTCGTGACAGCTAGAACATATCGTGACATCTAGAGCGTGTCGTGACAGCTGGAGCGTGTCGTGACAGCTGGAGCGTGTCGTGACACCTGAAGCGTGTCGTGACAGCTGGACTGTGTTGTGACACTAATTGTCGACTGTATATAATCATGATGTTACATAATATCCTGTCGTGCAAATATACGTGACATGGGTCTGTCAGTCTAGTCATAGACCGCTATCCATACATTCAATTCTGTCAGTTTCATGGATGGAAGCCAGTCAACAACGTGTTGCTTCTCTCATCATCGTCCGCTTCAGGAACTCTTCTGGGCATTGACGTTTCATCTGTCCGTCTACTTTCCCTTTAGTCAAGAGAGTTATTTTATTTCGCTGTCTTTCTTCAATTCGTTCCACGTAGTGTTCATCAATTTCGTTAGATCTGTGCCCACGCCTTCAGACGCACTAGGCACATAAGGCTAGACCTATATGTTATAGACCAGTCGGCACTGGGGAGGTGATTTTGTCAGCATCACCCCAGCCGTCTTTACTTCCGAGGTCTGCACCTCGTGCCCACCATGGCTGTTACCACCTGAAAACCAGGATCACTATGAAAACAGTCCGGCTACGTCAAGACCTGAACCAACGATCTTCAGATCCGAATGTGAGGATGTAGCCGCTACATCATGGCTACACCCGATGTGTTGCAGTGTCCAGTTGTCAGTGTTATCATGTGTGAACTGATCTGCGTGGCAGTGTCCAGTTGTCAGTGTTATCATGTGTGAACTGATCTGCGTGGCAGTGCCCAGTTGTCAGTGTTATCATGTGTGAACTGATCTGCGTGGCAGTGTCCAGTTGTCAGTGTTATCATGTGTGAATTGATCTGTGTGGCAGTGCCCAGTTGTAGGTGTTATCATGTGTGAACTGATCTGTGTGACAGTGCCCAGTTGTCAGTGTTATCATGTGTGAACTGATCTGTGTGACAGTGCCCAGTTGTCAGTGTTATCATGTGTGAACTAATCTGTGTGGCAGTGCCCAGTTGTCAGTGTTATCATGTGTGAACTGGTCTGTGTAGCTTCAGAAGCTTGTGTTACGACCGTTGATTTCATTTCAGAAACATTACGTCAGTGATGCGACCTTGACCTGCAACAACATTACCGCTAAAATCCCTAAAGGATTTTCTGAGATCCACACACGAAGACCTTACTTGCTGAAACTCCAGGGACCCAAGTATGACCTTTTTATCTCACTGAATGTATACTGTAAGACTTCAAGGGTAACAGACATGAACAATTGATTTTACAGAATGTATGTTAATGTTGGAGACTATACTCCAAATGTTTACTAAATGAGGAGTATTGGAATTAATGGGATGCAGTTATGAACATTTAGGTTTACTGAATGTGTCGTGTTCAAATTAAAGGGAATCAGTTATGAACATTTGCATTTTATGGGTTTATAACTGTGAAAACTTGCAGCACATTCTACCCGCACTAGTGATCTGAATAAATAAACTTGTTGGGAAAATCATGCAACAGATCTCAGTAAATAATTGGGATCAAGCAGAGAAGTGTGACTAGAGGCTGTCACTAACACTAAACGTTCTAAGGGAAAGCAGGAGGGACTTATAATCAGCTGACAGCATTGTAACTGCAACACAACCATGGTATTGAAACACTGAAGATGTTTTGACCAGCAAAGTATTTAAACACTGGGGTGGGGGGGTGGTGGGGGAGGTAAAGTATATAAACACTGAAGATGTTTTCATAAAAGTATTAAAACACGGAAGATGTTTTCATTAAAGTACTAAAACACTGAAGATGTTTTCATTAAAGTATTAAAACACTGAAGATGTTTTCATTAGAGTGTTAAAACACTCAAGATGTTTTCATTAAAGTGTTAAAACACTGAAGAATGTTTGACCAGGCAAAGTTGTACTTTGGGTAACATATTTGATTAGGAAGAATGTAATAGATTTGAATAAAATAAGAAAGCTATTTTTATTTTTATTTACATAGACACATAATTTACGAAGTAAACAGACACAGCATGTGAAAGACACGATTGAAACCAAAGACACGATTGAAACCAAAGACACGGTTGAAACCAAAATGTGACAAACACTTCAAATACGGTATGGAAAATTCAACATTTAGGTAATTTTGAAACACAACGAATGAAACACAACGTGTGAAACACAACGTGTGAAACACAACGTGTGAAACACACCGTATGAAACACAGCGTATGAAACACAACGCATGAAACACAACGCAACGTGTGAAACACAACGTATAAAACACAGCGCATGAACCACAACGTGTGAAACACAAAAAGTAAAACATTCACAGCTAAAATAACCATTCAACTGTTCATTTTTTTTTTTTCAAACAGGTACCCGCTTCCAAATCCTCCAAACGGTTATGTTTGTAACTGTGATAACAAAAAGGGTTCTGGAAAACAACCGAGATCACGAAGTAATTGATGTTGACAACACAGATGACTCCTGCAATAGAAGCAGACACTTTGGAATAACACACGCAATGAGGGACTACACACTGTCACATTAGTTGCAATTCCAAATTTGAGAGCGGACAATTTTTAAAACAAAACAATAATGTCATTACAGTAAAGATTGGCAGTTGATTTTCGCCTACTATTCATTCATTATTTGTTTTGAATATTTTCTTCAAGTTATTTAATTATTCATCTGTAAGGCATTTGTAGAACCACTTCAAGCCACACAAAAAATTAGCATGTTTATGCAAGCTAAACATGTTGTCACAATACTAAATCAAACTTCTTTACGCCAACCGAGTTTCTTGTCATCATGTAGCAGACCTCAAACGTAACTGTCGTGGTTAAATAGGACTTCCGGGATTGGTACGTGCTTGGTTCTCATCCCTCAGGTTGCATCCCGTAGACTACAATCTTGGATGGGAGATAATACAGACATAGTCACTGACATGAATTCCCCCGCTGAGTGCCCACGGTACGTGTGAGCTAACTGGGACAGCTTACCGGCTACATTAACTAGTAGGACCTATCCACATTCTTACCACACTGGATGAGAAGATACCAGCTGAAGCACTTCACGACATCCATACAGGGCTAGTGGGGGCGGGGGGGGGGGGGCGGCCAAAAAAAAAAAGGGGGGGGGGTTTAAAGTAAGACCAAAGGAAAAGATCTTTGACGGTTGGTCGTCGTGATACCAAACAACATGCATACCAGACACAACTGGCAGTGTAAACCAGATAAAAGGATGGGAATAAACAAGACAAGCAACACTGCATGGCGTGAGCTATAAGAAAGCGTCTTATATCTCTCTCGCTGTCTCTCTCTGTCTGTCTGTCTGTCTGTCTGTCTGTCTGTCTGTCTGTCTGTCTGTCTGTCTGTCTCTCTCTCTCTCTCTCTCTCTCTCTCTCTCTCTCTCTCTCTCTCTCTCTCTCTCTCTCTCTCTCTCTCTCTCTCTCTTGGTAATATTTGCAGTTGCTACAATAAAATCCAGTTTTTCTCTCATTGTATCATAGGGTTTATCATGACTGCCTGATCATAGACAGGGAGACCTTGGCTTTCTCGAGTTTGAGTGTCAGTGTGGAGGCTGCGGGCTCCAGTGGATACGAAACACTGCAGATGCATTGGCTCCAAAAGAATTGGAGAACTGGCTAGAGAAAGAGAGACTATGAGGTCTACCATGAAGAGAGACAGAGAAATGTTCTGTAAAGGTCATCCTGAATGAGTGGCTCATTCGGAGTCAGCATGGCAGCTGGGCAGAGGGCACGAGGCAGTTGAATAAAGTGAAGGAAGCCATCTGTAGTGGAGACAATCTTGTGCTTGTGTAACCCTTGTTGTAGGTTGGAATCATGTTGAAACAACTTCCGGTCATATTGGACGCTAGACACGGGCACTGTTTGGAGCCGAGGCAAATTCGTTGCTTCTGCCAGACGGTGGCTGTTGCATTTTTGCTTCATTTGTACCACACCGCTGAATGAAAGCATATAGTTTCGTCGCCCTACTTCTAAGTTGAATGCAAGGCGTGACATTGTGAGGTGCTGATTTCATTTGGAAAGTTTTTCGACTGTGACCAACGTGGTGTTGTGAATTGTAGATTTAGAAAATGGCGCGATGCCCGTTGTCGCAATATTGGTGGTGCCATTATGTGATTAAAATTGATCTCGTGTGCAACTGCTGATTTGTTTGTGACTTCTGCTACCATCAATGATGAACTGCGTTTCTAATGTCGGACTGTTTGTGTTAGCACTTCGGATGGCCGCCATATGCTTTTAATACGTGTGTATGCTAGTGCATATGCTGAGACAGCAGTCTGTCAATCTTTTCACAAGGGACTGTGATAAACATGCTGTATGTTTTTCTTTGGCGCAGGAGCGGAGCAAAGATGGGGAGACCCGTTTGCTATAAAGCTGAAACTAAGACTACCAGACTACCAGACTTGTACAAAGATACTAGAGAGTCTCGGTGACCAAATGGTTAAATTGGTCGACTTGTGCTCTAAGGACGAGGTAAATGTCAAGACTCCCCCTTTGGGTAGGTGAATGCTGATCCCTGTGGTAACTGAAGGAGTTAGACACGGGCGCCTCTGCAAGGCAATCGTTAGTGGATGGAGGAGGTATAAATGGGTGGCGAGAAAGGCTGTTTCTATTGGCAAGAGGCTTGATGAGCTTTAGCCTTGTTTGGGCGTAAAGTAATAATATTAGTTGCATAATAGTTGTAATTATTATATGCTGAAAAAAATTATATATATATATGTTTAAAAAAAAATGACAGGAAAACATTGACAGCAGCCTGACTATGTCACTGCAATAGTAGCTAACGGCTTGATGTCCGCCTGTTCGATACCTCATTGCGCTCATTCGAAAAAAAGGAAAGACAAACCATAATTCTTAGGTCAAACCAATGTAAACCTGGTACCAGGCAATGTTTTGGGAAGTAAAGGCGGACAAAATGGTGTTAGTCAGATCACTCACACATCTAGGTTTCTCCAGCCACTTATTTCATATCTCACATCTTGGTTTATTTATCAAGTTATTTGATGTCTCATATCAGAAATCAGCGTAGCCAGAAATCACCAACAAAAACGCCAATCAGCCCTTCCAAAATATCTGTGTTGACATAGAGGTGCTTGAGCGTTCTGTTCATGGCTTCAAGTCCGGGCTTGTCCATCATCGAAATCTTATCCCTGAAAAGTACCTGAGCCTTCTGCAGCACTTTGGTTTTTGCACTTGCTTTCTTAAAGTTGCAAACAGGCATTTCATTACGGATTAAGTCAGTCGAGATTTGTAACACTGTTCGTCCGCCAGTTATCAGCATTGAAACAATACCTGAAGTTGCTACAGCAGGTGCAACATTCTTTTCTGTTCTAATTCTGGCAAGCCTCACAGTGATGAGGAAGGTCTTTCCAGTTCCCTGGTTACCCACCTTTTTTACTCTTGTTGTGGGGGGTGGGGGGAGGGATGTAAACCTCATCGATGAAAAGCCTGTGGATCTGCATTTAACAATGGCTTCTGCTGCGACACCAAATTAAGAGATCAGAGTCATACCACAATCGTTGCAGCATTTCCTGACTCATGTTGTGTGTGTGCTGCCGTGAGGAACTTATGCCAGTCTCCGATAAAGGCTTTCCTATCTTCTGTAGGGCTTTATTCTCAAGCTTGATGACTACCTCATTGTGGATAGCATCAGTAAAGTTCAAGGCAACGTAAAAATTGTTTCGAGGCAGTCATGAAAATATCCTACTAGACATGCAGTCCCTGTTGTTTTCCCAAATGCTTTTAGATAAGAAGGCTCACAAAATATGAGAAATAATACAAAGTTTGTTCCCATTTTTGATGGAGGAATCACACAGTGCAGCGTCCTTTAATGTTTCTTACTATCTCAAGCAGCCCCAATGTCGGGTACGCTTTTTTTGTCCACTGAATTTTGTCGATAATTCGGAGATCTGTAAAGCTTGTTGGATCTTTGAGTTTGTGCAACAGGAGCCGTGGGAAATAACAATCACAGTTTATAGAGTGCATTGTTTAGACACGCCTTGGAGCATGGCCAGGTCGAATGCCGTCCTGTCCTTCAAAAACTGTGCCCTGTTGCGTCCACTGAGAACTGTTTGAGGCTTGTCTTTTGTATACAATTTAGGAACATTTTTTGGGAACCTCTATCTACTTTACAGTTTTGGAATATCTTTTTAGAGGCTTCTCCCTCGTATTCAATTTGGGAAAGTTTTTTTGGGAACCTCTATCTACTTTACAGTTTTGGAATATCTTTTTAGAGGCTTCTCCCTCTTTTAAAATTTGGGAAAGTTTTTTTGGGAGCCTCTCCATAGTTTACAATTTGGGAACTTGTGTGTGTGTGTGTGTGTGTGTGTGTGTGTGTGTGTGTGTGTATGTGTGTGTGTGTGGCTTCTCCCTTGTGTTCAGTCTAGAAACATCACAATATAATAATGTCTGGAAAGCTTTCAAATTTCTAAAGCTCGAAGAATCCTGTCAATATTGTGTGTGTGTGTGTGTGTGTGTGTGTGTGTGTGTGTGTGTGTGTTTGTGTGTGTGTGTGTGTGACTGACTGGCCAATCAATGTTGCGAATAGTGTTCCCTTAAATAAACCCTTTTTCAGATGCACATCAAGGGGTACAAATGTAGTCTGTCGTTCATGAATGGGTAATCTACCAATCCTCCATGCCGCTTTATTGCTGGAAATGTAACGGCCTGATTGGTAGTCAGAAATGTCACCTTTACCAATTCTACTGGACTCAGCCGGATATACACCTTGATCTAAACCCTTGTGGACATACTTGAGAATGTACTTAATAAACTTTACAGAGTTGCAGCATTCACTTCCAACATTGCCAGATTTTTTTTCCCACAGTGGTTGTGTGTCCACCGTCTTCTGGCTTCCTTCACCTCTACAATGTTTTACATCTCTTGTAACTTTGGTGTCCTTGATAAAATGGCGCCGATAAATTGTTTTGCATGGTCCACCTCTCATGCACGAAGGCATCCTATTGAAAGTGCTAAACGGGCGGTGTACCATGCTTTTAATTACGATGCCATAAAGCTGTTTATAAAAGTCACCAATCTTGTTTTGTCTTAATAGACATGATCGCCAAATACAAATGTGTAAATGTAGAAGTCTACGTTTCTGCCACTCGATGGAGTATAAGCTATAATTACCCACACTAAAAAATTGATGTTTTATCATGAATCTGACAATCTTTTGCTGAAAAATCCTTGCTACTAAATCATGTCGATGAATTTTTGACTGACCACTGGTGACATTTTGCTCCAATTATTTGTAACTGAGATTGAAGGTATTAAACTGATTGAGGATAGGAAAAGTAAAAAGGCAGACTTAAACATTAGCAAACCTAGAGCTGCTAAAGCTAGAGCTCAGGAGAAATACACAGAAGTCAACAAGGAAGTTAGGAGGCATATAAGGGCAGATAAAGTGAAATATCTAAATGATCTAGCACAAGAAGCG